GTCATCAGCAAACTTGCTGAGGGTGCACTCAACTCCATCATTGATGACACTGATAAAGATGTTAAAGAGTATCGGTCCCAAAACAGACCTCTGGGGGGCACAGCTCGTTACCGGCCTCTACCAGGACATGAACCCTCTATCACTACCCTTTGCCTGCAGCCTTTCAACCAACTCCGTATCCACCAGGTGGTCTACCCATCAAATCCCCATCTCTCCAATTTGGAGATAAGGATGTGGTGGGGGACCATCAGAGGCTTTGCACGAGTCCAAGTAAATGACACTGGTCTCACCTTCCTTTTGTCCACCAATGCCGTCACTCCGTCATACGGAGCGACGTTCCTAGTGACATGTCACCCAGGCCCTAAGCAGGCAAAACACCTCCCTGGGGGGAGGGACATGAACGGCATGTGGGGCCCTCTGTTCCCCTCAGAAGGGAGTCCCCCGTGATGACATCTCTTCTTTTTTTCTTGATGGATGGTGCGGTGACACAGGGCAGTCTGACTTGCCCAGGGCAACCCCTGCAACGTGGAGGGTCCTTCATCCACATCTCCCGTCCGTCCAGCTCCAGAGCCTCCTACCCATTCACAGAATGGCCGGGGTTGAAAAGGCCCCGAATGATCAACTAGTTTAAATCCCCCTGCAGTGTGCGGGGTCGCCAGCCGCTAGACCACGCTGCCCAGAGCCACATCCGGCCTGGCCTTGAGCGCCTCCAGGGATGGGTCATCCACAACCTCCTTGGGCAGCCTGTTCCAGTTTGTCACCACGCTCTGTGTGGAAAGCCTCCTCCTAATATCTAACCTAAACCTCCCCTGTCTCAGTTTAAAAGCATTCCTCCTTGTCCTATCACTCTCCACCCTCACAAACAGTCGAGTTTGAGAAGGACCTGGGCGTCCTGATGGATAAAAAAACATGAGCCAGCGGCGTGCTTCTGCAGCTCGGGAAGCAAACGGTATCCTGGGCTCCATCAGAAGAGGGGTGGCCAGCAGGGACAGGGAGGGGATTGTGCCTCCATACTCTGCCCTCGTAAGGCCCCATCTGGAGTGCTGTGGCCAGGTCTGGAGCCCCCACTACAGGAAAGACAGAGAGCTGCTGGAGAGGGCCCAGAGGAGAGCCACAAACGTGATCAGAGGCCTGGAGCAGCTCCCCTGCAAAGACAGGCTGGGGGAGTGTGAGAATCCTTCCTTGGTTTTTGGCTCAAAGCTTGCTTCCTGAGGTTTTTCTTGTGATAAGACTCTGAATGATTTGTTCAGGAGGCAAGCGATGGGTGTTGTGTGGCAATCAACATCACTGTGTGGACAGTTTTACATCTTTGGAGCTGTTTGCCTTCGGAAGACAGTGCTCAGGACTGTTTACTGGCAAAAGATCTAGCCTGCGACCAAAGATCTCCTGTTTGCTGTGGAAGACTGGGGCACAATGCCATTGTATCCTGTGAAGGCAAGATACAAGTTGGCACCTCCCTGCTCCCTCTTATCTGCTGGCAAGGCCAGGAGGATAGGAACAAAGCAGTTTCCTGCTGAGATCCCAGAGCCAGAAGCTGCCACTCCAAGGAGAGCTGACTCAACCACTTTGGATTTGAGCCATCACTCCAAAGACAGCTGACTCGACCACTTTGAAAGCATTGAAAAGGGGCCACCATCGCCATGGTCGTCGTCGTGGTTCTCGCCGTTGTGGTTGCCATCAACAGAACAATGCCCGACGACCCACCCCTACCGAAGATCAAAGACTGAACTACCAACCACGCTGGATCCATGGTGGTGACTATCTCCCTCTTGCTTCCTATAAAGACTCCTTGCTTCTTCTTTTCTATCTTTTCTATCGCCCTCCTTCCCTTCCCCATTACCCTAATTCATAACAGTGTCCGTCCTCCCCTTCCCCATTTCCCTAATCTTAATTTGTAATAAACTGGTCGAACCAACATTTGAGCCGTTGTTTCTTAATCTCACGCCGGGTATACAGGTATTAAAAGAACCTCCTCTCCCTCCTATAAATTGGAGCGAGACAGGGAGCTGGGCTTTTTCATGCTGGGGGTGAGAAGGCTGAGAGGACACGTCACTGCAGCCTTCTTGTGTTTCAAGTTTCAAGGATTATAAAGATGAGTGGCGTCATTTTTTTTGCTCAGGTAGATAGTGATAGGACAAGAGGGAAGGGATTAAAGCTCAGAGAGGGAAGATTGAGGTTGGATGTCAGTGGGAAGTTCTTTACTATGGGAGTGGTGAAGTGCTGTAACAGGCTGCCCGGAGAGGTTGTGGATGCCCCGCCCATCCCTGGAGGTGTTCAAGGCCAGGTTGGATGCGGCCCTGGGCAATCTGGTATCAAATGGGGAGGTTTGTGGCCGCGCCTGTGCCGGGGCGGTTGGAGCCTCATGATCCTTGAGGTCCCTTCCATCCCGGGCCATTCTGTAATTCTGTGAAACAGTCATAGCCCTCCTGTTTACACACTTCTTTCAAATACCCGAAGGCCACAGTGAGGTCTCCCCAGGAGCGCAAAGGGCACCTGGGAAGGTGGCACAGGCTGCGAGGCAAACTGCTTGTTGCCCTGAGCAGGCCCTCGTTTCCATCCCTCGCAGTCCCTGAGGTCCCCTCCTCATGTCTGCCTGCTGGAAGGTAGACGATCCACTGCTTCTTGTAGAGCGTCTCCTGGAGCCTTTCCTGCGAGGACGGCGGAGTGCGACTCCACCAATCTATATCCCTCACACAATCCCAGAGGCTCCCCAACCCCTCCACCTTTCGCTCCGTGTGATCATCCTCCACGTGTTCACACGGCGCACAGGCGGTATCTCCGTTGCCCTTGCGTAGCAGTGACAGTGTCAGGCGCTCTTTGCAGCCTGAGACCTGAACCGCTGCGTGGACGTCTGGTGCTGAGTCACCACGTTCCTTCTTGCAACAGCTCCCTGCAGCGTGGGGACTATGGCTGCACCTTGGTGCTGTAGAGGAGGAACAGGCTGTGAAGTGATTGCTCTTCTCCAGCGTGACCAGGTGCCACGGGCACTGCTAACTCTGTGCCCGCACTGACTGCTGTGTCACAGCCTTGTGACGTGCCACGCTGGTTTTGCCCACCCAGTTTGCTGGGAAGGTGCTGAGGAGGACAAAACCCTGTGATCCCAGCACCTAAGGCGGCCCACCTCAGGACAAGCAGAGAAGAAGCAGCGGACAAAGAAATGTGTGGGGGATGGTTGGGTTTATTGTGTTGACACCAGGGGCTAGAGCCAGCACACGGTGTTGGCACACGGCTGTTTCCGTGCCATAGTTTGGGGGGCTGAGTGTGAGGGCAGGATGCTGTCTTTGACTTTGCCCTCAGAAGTGACTTCCCGCCGGGGATACCCTCGCTGTTGGAATGGCTTTCCACGTCATCATTTTTCTGGCTGACCGTGGGGGGATGTTGGCTTTATGTTGTCCCCAGGAGCGGTAACTTCACGCCCGGGATAGCCCCTGCTGCTGAAACTGCTGACTGGAGGGGAAATGCTGGCTTTGATGTCGGACCCGGGAGTCACTTCATGCCTGGAATAGCCCCCGCTGTTGGCATTGTCTCCTGCAGCTTCCTCAGGGCCGGCTGTGGACGCCTGGGACTCGATGTGCCACTGAGGAACGGTTTCACACGCGGGCCTCCCCTGGCCGCCCAGGCCGTTCCCCAGGGTGTGAATACAGGGGAGCCCTCAAGGACCTCCGTGTCACCGGCCTGGTGGTGCTCTGGGCGCTGTCCTGAGCAGCTGGAGGTGGTGTTCGCCTGCTGCCCGGAGGCCTTCTGGTCCGGCTCTGGGAACCTGCGGCCCGACCTTGCAGCGGGGAGCGGCTTCGTGTCCGGCTTGTTCCCCGCTGCCTGGAACGCCTTCTGCGTGCAGCCACTGTGGCTGCTCTGGAGGATCGCGATGAGCCCCGTCTGGTGGCTGGCTGTGAGCTGCTTTCAGCTCTTGGGGCTGCCGTGCGTCTGCTGCCACGGGGTGCTTGGTGCAGCTCAGATGCATCCTGATGGTCAGGAGAATGTGGGGGGATCGTCCCCTGTTCGGTCCCCAGCTCACAGGTCTGACTGCTGAGCTTTGGCGGCTGGGAGCTGTGTGATGGCCCCGATGCCGCCTGGCTGGTGGGGCCGGACCTGCTGTCCTCCGGTTCCTGGGGGCCGTGGGATGGTTGCAGGCCCTCCTGGCTGGCAGTGCTGGGCCCAGCACGCTCCGGGATGGTGCTGGCGGCTGTAAGGGGAGGCGGGAAGGTCAGCAGGATGGAGCTGTAGCCCTGGGTAGGGACAGGTCGCCATCCCTCCTGGGGCAGAGAGACTCTGGCAAAGCTGCCCTGAGCACCTGCTGCCAGGCCTTGCCTGGCCCCAGCGCGGTGCCACGCGGCTGATTGCCTCTTACCGGTACCCAGGCCAGCACAGCTGTCGCACTCCCACGTGGCTGTTGTGTTGCTCAAGGGGGAGCACTGTCGGTGAGTGCCCTCAGCAGCGCAGGAGCTGCACAGGATCAGCTGCCAGGGCCTGGGGAAGCAAAGGGGTTGTGGCTGTGAGGACCAAGTGAGCAAGCGAGGGAGTCCCTGGCACAGCACATCTCTGGCGCTCCGCCCTTGCTCCCCCAGCCTGTGCTGAGGCTGAGATCCCCCGTGGAGCCTCAGCGAGCTGCTGTGGTAACTCACCCCCTTCTCTCTGCCTGCTCTCTGCCTCCAGGGTAAAGGCACCACCTGGCATCGCAGCGCTGGTGCCTCTGGAGGAGGGATTCATAGGAACCGTCGTCGTCCCATGTTGGTCTTCTACGAGAGAAGGGAGGGAAACTGATAAGCCCCCAGCGTCCCCAGCATCAGGTCGAAGGTTATCCCATCTCATCCACCCCGATGCCATTTTATAGCTTCTTCATGAAGCTGAGGCTTCATGAGACAGCCAAGGGCCAGGCCTGCCGAGACAGTGCCTGGGCAGGCCCGGCGCTTGCACCCTCTCATCTGCATGCTTGGACAGGAGGACACCAACCTGGCTGGGATTCGGATTCCCATGGTAGACATCACGGCACAGAATACTGCGTCGTCTCTGCAACTGGGGCACCGGAAGCACGTCGTGCCCGCATTCAATGCCTGTTTCTGCAGGAGAAGCACAAGCAGGGTGAGCGTGAGCAGTGCCTGGTGTTGCTGGGCACTAAGCACGCCTGCAGGGTGAGGAGAGGGCTCCCACCTGGACGCAACCCCGGTGGAACCAGGCACGTGTGCACATGGGGCACACCATGGTGTGATAGTCCAAGCTGCCCCTCACGGTCTCCTGGCAGATGATGCAGATGGTGTCTTCTGCTGGAGTTGTCACCGGTGTCTGTCGAGGGCGGTGCTCCCAACAGAAGGACCTGGGGGAAGACGGAAGGGATGGGTGGGCGCAGTGAGAAGCGCTGTGAGGACGGGGGAGGAGCAGGGAGGAGCCCCAGGCCCTGGCTCTGGCAGGCTGCTGGGAGGCGACCTTGTGGGTTCCCCCCTGGCTTGGCTACTGGGAGCTCCTACCTGTGCTGGGAGCCCTTACCTGTGCTCTCCAAAATGCTGTGTGATGCATTCTCCGTCTGCAGCGCAGGGCAGATGGAAGCTGCGTGCACAGCCGCTCTCTGCACATGTGATGGCAGCCCCCCTCTCGCCGCAGACACAGCATTGCTGGAAAAAGCAGAACAGCCCCATCAGCAGCAGGCACAGGACCTCCACAGCCGGCCGCGCACCTTTGGGCAGGGCACAGGATGTGGGCACTTCTGGGTCACCCTCTACAAAGCAGCTTGGTGGACAGGGCTGATCCCCTATGGGCAGGCCTTTGTGCCGGAGGCGGTTGGAAGGCCGTGATTGCTTTCCTTGGGTCCGGACTAAGCTGGTGTGAGCCCCTCCTCGCACAGATCTGCCTGCTGCGTTCAGGTCCTCACCTCCTTGTTTGCCTGCTTGGCCTTGCGCGTGAGGGCAGCAAGGTCAATGCCCGTAGATTCCTCCTCTGGGGGTCTTTCTTCAAAAGCGATGTGGGCAAAAACCTGGAGGAGAGAAAAGAGCAGGGAGTCATGAGGACAGGAAGGAAGGGCGCATCCCGGCTGGAAGCAGATGGGATCACCGCTGGGGGAACTCACCAAGCAGAACTCGTGGACAGTCAGGAAATCGCCGCCAATAGTGCGCCCAAAGATGTCCGGGTCATCGTCTGCCCGGCCACACAGCACGCACACTGTTGAGGAGAGAGCAAATGCCAGTAGCGGTGAGCGCCTGGTGGGGCCAGGCGTCCCTGAGGGCTGTCCCCAGGGTCCTGCTCTGTGCCTGCCGTGCTGGCTGGAGGCGGTGGAGGGGAAGGGGCCACGGCAGGCCCAAGGCAGTCACAGCCCACGCTGGGCCCCCTTGCCAAGGAGCAGAGGGGCCCTGCCCCATGCCTGTCTGGGAGCTCCTGCCTGCCCCTTCCTCCCCTCTCAGCTCTCAGCTCTCAGCCGCAGGCAGAGCCCCGGCACCCCTCTGTCCAGTGCTGGGAGCTGTGCGCAGGGATGCTGTGCTCTCACCTGGCTCCTCTGAGCTGGAGGCCTTCCTCTTCTCACTGGACATGATTGTGCGTTGACGGTGAGCACTACCAGAGAACCTGCTCTCTCCACGCCTCACCAAGCCGCACTGACGCTCGGCCTGAGCCCGGCAGCCTTTGCTCTGCTCCAAGCTTCACGCGTCACAATGGCCGCTCCCTGACACCCACTGTGACATCACCGTCACCGCCTCACGGTGTGAGGCTGCGGTGCTGGGCTATGGGTTTCCAAGCAGGAGAGCGGCGGCTCCACAGCTTCTCTGTGTAACCCCTGAAAGAACTTGCTTCCAACAACCTGTGTCCATCTCCCCTCCTTTTGTCAGTACTTTGTGCATCACGCCCAGCACAGCTCATTCCCTCACTTGCTCGACTTCTTTCTGCGCGGTTGTCCCCTTGCCTGGGTAACTGTCATGGTGCTATGTTTTTTGGTTTTTTGGTTTTTTGCTTGTTTGTTTTTTGGCTTTCAGTATTCCACATCAAAACATCGTGTAGTGCACGGGGCATTAAAGTGTCACTGCCCCAGTCCCTGGTACCTATCCCTGTGCATTACAGAAGTCACGGGATCTGCTCTCATCGCTCTCTTGCTGCGTTGCAGTGGGTGCTGGAGGGTGCTTTCCTAGCCGTTCCATGCTTTTCAGGCTTGACTCGGTCTCGCGAACTCTCTCTCTCATCTTGTCTGATTTTTTAATCTCAATTTCTATTAAATTGTATTGTATTTTGTTATCTTGTATTCCGATATTATAGTAAAATAAGTTTTCCTCCGTAGCTTGTTGCCGCTGCTCTTTTCCTCCCTTCCTTTCTTCCCATTTTTGTGGGACTGGGGTGGGGGGGGAGGGCAGCGGCCTGTTGCCCCCGTGTCCCCTGTCACGGACGTAGATTGATCTGGTCAACTGTGTGACAAGCACATACCAGATCTTCCTCAAGGAGATACCTCTTCTTCACTGCTGACAAGGATCGCCCTCACCGTGGAGAATTTCTTCCTAGTATCTCGTTTAAATCTGCCCTCTTCCATGTTTCCCGTCGTCCTGTTGCTACATGCCCATTAAAACAGACAGCTTTCCTGTAGGTCCTCTTCAGGCACTGGAAGGGCTCAGTGAGTTCTCCGCTGTGCCTTCTATTATCTAGTCTGCAGAGCCCCGGCTCCCTCGGCCCCAGTCTTTGTAGGGGAGCTGCTCCAGCCCCCTGATCATGTTTGTGGCCCTTCTCTGGACCCTCTCCAACAGTTCTCTGTCTTTCTTGTATTGGGTGCCCCAGACCTGGATGCCACAGCACTGGATGCCACGAGGGCAGAGTAGAGAGGGACAATCCCCTCCCTGTCCCTGCTGGCCACCCCTCTTCTGATGGACCCCAGGTTTGCATTTGCTTTCTGAGCTGCAGGAGCACATTGCTGGCTCATGTTCAGGTCTTCATCCATCAGGACCCCCAGGTTCTTCTCTGCAGGGCTACTTGCCAGGATTGTTCCTTCCCGTTTGTACTTATGCCTGAGATTCCTTTGGCCCACGTGACAAATCCTGTCTAGTACGAGATCTGGTGGTTTGTGGCACTGATTTGGAACTGTATGATCCTCTGAGTCCCTTCTAACCATTCTCTAATTCTCTGATTCTCTGATTCTATGGATAAGATGATGTTTCAGGTTTTAAGTAGAACATTTTCAGTGCCTGTGCATGAGAATTGCTTATGAATGTATTCAAAGACAAAAAGTAAACCACGGTTATTTGATATTTCTGTAATCTCTTTTTTAGACATTCATTTGCTTGTGTTTGCTTTTATTGGAGAAGTAATTCTTTATGTGCAATACCTCATACTAAATGAGTAGATTTTCACTGTCAAGTGTTTTTTGCTGCCTTCACTATTTTCATGTAGCTAGGCAGAGAGGCACACAGAAAATCTATTTTAAAATCTACAGTAACTGCACAATTAGATATTTGTACAGTATTTTCCTTATTTGTACATTCAGCTTTGACTTTTGTCACTTACCAAGTACATAATTCTCTGTCTTAAAATGAAACACCCAAGAGATTGAAAGAGAGTTCCAGCAACTTGCAGGTATGACTTATCTAGAGACACAGTGAGGTAAACAATGGCCCTTTCCTTTCCTTTCCTTTCCTTTCCTTTCCTTTCCTTTCCTTTCCTTTCCTTTCCTTTCCTTTCCTTTCCTTTCCTTTCCTTTCCTTTCCTTTCCTTTCCTTTCCTTTCCTTTCCTTTCCTTTCCTTTCCTTTCCTTTCCCTTTCCCTTTCCTTTCCCTTCCCTTCCTTTCCTTTCCCTTTCCCTTCCCTTTCCCTTCCTTCCCTTTCCTTCCCTTTCCTTTCCCTTTCCCTTTCCTTTCCCTTCCCTTCCTTCCCTTCCCTTCCCTTCCCTTCCCTTCCCTTCCCTTCCCTTCCCTTCCCTTCCCTTCCCTTCCCTTCCCTTCCCTTCCCTTCCCTTCCCTTCCCTTCCCTTCCCTTCCCTTCCCTTCCCTTCCCTTCCCTTCCCTTCCCTTCCCTTCCCTTCCCTTCCCTTCCCTTCCCTTCCCTTCCCTTCCCTTCCCTTCCCTTCCCTTCCCTTCCCTTCCCTTCCCTTCCCTTCCCTTCCCTTCCCTTCCCTTCCCTTTCCTTCCCCTTCCCCTTCCCCTTCCCCTTCCCCTTCCCCTTCCCCTTCCCCTTCCCCTTCTTCCCCTTCCCCTTCTTCCCCTTCCCCTTCCCCCTTCCCCTTCCCCTTCCCCTTCCCCTTCTTCCCCTTCCCCTTCTTCCCCTTCCCCTTCCCCTTCCCCTTCCCCTTCCCCTTCCCCTTCCCCTTCCCCTTCCCCTTCCCCTTCCCTTTCCCTTTCCCTTTCCCTTTCCCTTTCCCTTTCCCTGCCCTGCCCTGCCCTGCCCTGCCCTGCCCTTGCCCTTGCCCTTGCCCTTGCCCTTGCCCTTGCCCTTGCCCTTGCCCTGCCCTGCCCTGCCCTGCCCTTGCCCTTGCCCTTGCCCTTGCCCTTGCCCTTGCCCTTGCCCTTGCCCTTGCCCTGCCCTTGCCCTTGCCCCTTCCCTTGCCCTTCCCTGCCCTTCCCTGCCCTTGCCCTTGCCCTTGCCCTTGCCCTTGCCCTTGCCTTTTCTTGACTTATTCTCTCTTCTGATTTGTTTTAGTTAATATTCACCTGAAAACTGTATAAGTGAAGACTTGTTGCTCATGTTCCAAGCTTAGTGCAAAGCACTTTTGAATTATATCTTTCAAAACATCCCAACATCCTTCCTCAGCTCTTCATCATTTTCTTCAAAAGAATGAGGCTATTCATACCTATTTTTAAATTTCTGTAGGATGTTCTGACTGCAGAATGACAACTATATTTCAGTTGAACAGACACAACAGAGGAATAATGTACAGGCTATTTTAATAAAGCTTATCCTTGTCTTCTGCAGTTCTTTTTTCTTCTATTCCCCAACTTTATACAGGAGGAAATCGAATGCTTGTGATATCAAAATTTGTGATATCAAAAAAGAAATTGCTAGCTTCTTGGGTAGTGAGACCTCAGCTTTTTATGATCATCTTAAAGATCAATTGGAAATCGATGCAGGTCATTAAAACATAGGCATAATATGCTATCTGTATGAAATACTGTCAAAATAAATAGGCATAACTGCTTTGGTGTTCTGTGGGTTTAAGACATACACAGTGCACATTTGCACAGTAAACTTCTGCAATGAAGTCAAATGCAGGTGAAGGGCAATGTAAATTTGAAGGCACTGGTCACTTTTTAAGTACCACTCCTAAGTGCACATGAGCAGGCAAATCAAAAACATCAGAAATCAGACAGGTGGAGTGGAAGGCCAACTTGTCAGAACAGGGATCTTCTACAGCTTAGGTGGAAAAAGTATGTCTACTGCAAGCAAGGTCAGGCAACATGGAAGGACTGTAGGGATACTGTGTCCCTTACTATAAAGAACATCTGCATGCCCAAAGCTCAGTTAGATTTGAAGATGGCCAATATTGTGGGGTACAATTAGAAACATTTCTTTTTCAAATGTGTCAACAGCAAAATGTAGACCAGAGAGAACATTGGTCTGCTGCTTGATGAGAATAGTGACCTTACAAACAGAGACAAAGACAAAGCAGAGACATTTAATGCCTTCTTTGCCTCTGGCTTTTATGAGCTCTAGGATGCCAGGTGCTCTGGGTTGGAGGACAGTGATTGTGTTAACAGTAAACTTCCAAACAATTCTGAATATGCTGCTCTACCTGGGTGCATATAAGCCCAGGGGGCACTATGGTGTCCATTCCAGGATACTCAGAGAGCTAGCTGATGTCATTGAAAGACATCTCAATTATTTATCAGTGGTCTTGGGGATCTGGAAAGTTCCCAATTGACTGGCAGCTGGCAAACATTGTTCCAATTTTCTGGAAGGGCAAGAAAGAAGACCCTAGTAATTACAGGCCTGTCAGTCTCACTTCAGTGCCCGTTAAAATTACATAGAAAATTATGTTGGAAGTTCTGAAAAACACATGAAGGGCAATGTGGTCATTGGTTAAAGCCAATGTGTTCATGAGGGGAATGTTCTGTCTAACTAAATTCCCTTTTATGACAAGGTCACTCATGTAGTTGAACAAGGAAAGTCAGTTGATGTTCTCCTTTTGGATTTCGGAGAAGCTTTCAATGCTATTTCCCACAGTATCCTCCTGGACAAAATGTCCAGCATACAGCCAGACAAAACCATAATGTGATGAGTGAGCAACTGACTGAAGGGTTGGGCCCAAATTTTAATAATCACTTGCATTTTCCCAACCACTTCATCTGTTTGAAGCATGACATTTAAACTGCTGCAATGTGGTACTACTGTGGAAGGCATTATTGCTAGCATTGTTAATTATTTTGGCTTAAAATAGGTTATGCAAGAGACAATAGATTGTCACAGAGTTAACTAAATCAGTCTATGCCAGTGACGGGGGCAGTAGGACCCTGGGATCTCCCTGGCCCCACAAAATGGGAAGGGAAAGGGAAAAGGGAGAGGGAGATGGGAGCTGGGCTCTAGGAAGGAAAAAAACCAGTGGCAAAGATCTATGGAGGAAAACTTA